CTTTAGTCTTTAGTTACTTTTATGGACTCGTAACTACTAGTTACTTTTTGTAATAGGACTTGTTACTTTGGACTCGTTAGTTTAGTTACTTTAGTTACTTAGTATCGTTACTTTATAATCGTTGTTCTGTGTACAGGTTGGAAGACCTGGGCTTGACGTGGAACTTCGTTACTTATTGTGCGCCGCGATCTTCGTTGCATGCTCGGTTTAACCTATAAGGGGTTTCTACTTTCTCCTAGTGTAAGGGCTTATAGGATAATTTCAATACTCGGTATTCATGTACTGAATAATATGTTTTTAAATAATATTATATATTTTTTATAATGATGTTAAAATAAAAATATGTACTATTAATGAAATTAAAATAAAAATATTTTTTTTTTTTTTAATTTAAAGAAATATGTGTATAATAAATATAAAGTATTTTTTTATTCTCTTCTCTTCTCTCCTTCTCCTCTCTCTATTTGTAATACATTATAAAATGGCACAAACATTAAAGAGTAAAAATAAAAAAAAAATCGTATATATTTTTTGTTGAAATGTAAAAATATTAAAAAAATGTATTTCTTCTGTGGCGGATTCATCTCTTCAAAAAGTTCTATTGGATTAACGCAGCGCCCCAGTGTTTACTAAAATTACTATTTTTATTTTGTAGATTTTTTTAGTGTAAGTGGCGAAATAACTATTCTCTTTTCGAAGAAGAAAAATATTTGCACTCTGATTTTTCAGATGTTAACGTTTTTTGTGACTAACGTGAATCCACTATTTAAATTAATATCTAAGGACATGTTTTAATCTACTAAACGATTCTTCCTATAAATAAAAAGGACAACAAACGGCAAAGGGATAGACCGCCTCCGGGTCGGCATGAGCCTCCATAAAATTGTAATAAAAATATCACACATTTTCCATCCAAACATCGGCCGGCGTCAAGTCAACATTTTAAACATAAGCATATTGATAACAACTAGACATACGTCGAAGTAACGAATATTTCAGTATCGAGTTTCGAGTTCTCGGTTCGTGCATTTCCAAGGATTACGATTACTTGGGCGCAAAAGTAACGAATAAGCTTAGTAACGAGTAACGAGTCCTAAATACAAATGGTAAGCGTTACTTCGAGTCCTTGTAAAGTAACTGTTACTTTTGTAACGATTACTTAGAATTTTTACATCACTACTATCAATTGCTATTTCAGAAGTGATTTCAACATTTTGCACATTGTTACTTTTCGTTTAGATAGAAGTTCTATGTGCCCGAGAAAACATTCCTTAAATTCTTTTGTATTTATTTAATTTTTATTAAGTAGGGCAAAATAAGATTTAAGATTTGGGATTTGAGATAAGCCAACATAATTCTATTTAATAGAATGGCAACACTGTCTATCGTCTTTACTGTCCCCACTAACTGGATCTCCCACTCTGGCTCTAGCTCATTCCTCTTCTCCATATTCCATGTTCATTTTCACATTCTTACATAGCCTTTTGCTTACGAAGTAATTTTATAGTATTTTTTCAAAAATGTATTCTCGTAAGCAAAAAATAAATTCGTGGATATGGTCACAGAAGCTGAAAGTGCTGAGGAAGTTGTTGGGCAAATTTATATTTGCAACGTGGTCAACACGTCATCGCGCCAAACGATTTTATATATTTTCTTAATCACCAGTTTTAAGCAATATAGACAGTTAAATTATTAACGCAGTGTAGGTATGCTGCCACGAGGATCAAGAACCCCGTCCTATTTCTGAAGAAAGAGTCGAGAGGGATCAAAATGTATGTGCCTTTGTAGAAGCAAGTGAGCCATGCTCCAGCAGCCAAATTTCACAAGAAATTGACGTTTCGGACCGCACAGTTCGGTATGTTTTTTGAAAAAAATGTTTACAAATCTGTTACAAAATTAAAACTACCCAAGAAATTTTCCCACGTGACTGTATCGCACGAATGGAGTTTTGTGAGACCATCAGACGCGCCAGATAAATTGATGAAACGAATCAATTTTTAAAAATCTTATTTACCAGAAGAATCATCATTTTCTCTTCATGGTCATCGCAAATCCTCAGAAGATATAGAATATTGGGTCACGGGACAATAACCTCTGACTGTGCATTACGTACCCAATTATCCCTAAAATTAATATGTGGGCCGGTATTTTGGGCGACCATATTGTTGGGCCTTTTGTGATCGATGGATATTTAAATGCTGCAAAATACTTGCAGATGCTGCAGAATCAAATTATACCAGCTGTACGGACCTTAATGTCATTTTGATGAAATTTGGTTTCAGCAGGATGGCTGTCCTGCTCACAATGCAAGACCAGTTCAGGAATTCCTGACAAGGACTTTTCCTGAACGGCTTATTTGTGGAAGAGGCAACATACCATGGCCGGCAAGATTACCGGATTTGACCCCTCTGGACTTTTTTTTCTGGGGTCCTTTAAAGCAAAACAAATTTATAGGTATCCACATGAGAGACCTGCAAATTTAGTTGAATTAAGGGCCAAAATATTTGATATGTCTAGACTCATAACATCGGAAGTACTATCGGATGTTAGGATCGGAGCTTTTTATATCGGCTCGGGTACTGGCGAGCCAACAGGATGGTTTTTTGAACATTTGTTTAATAAATTTTTGTTGATAGTTATTTTTTAATTTTGTTTATAGTTTATTCTATTATAGAAATCCTTTTATTTATTTTTAAAAAATGTTATATGAGTTTAACTTTTTTTTTAGAATACTTGTTTTTTATTCATTTTAGGCTTAAGGCTGATAAAAATTCAACTAAGTTTAAAGCACTGTTGCATTAAATACAACAGGGAGTAACATGATCGTAAAACATATTATTAACTGAAAATGCGATTAATAATCACCAACAACGACATCTGACTGATACTTGATTCTATTTTCTTATTCTGTTCTATTACTAATAGTCCCCACACAAACGTCTTAAAGCCCCGCTCCCTCTCGCAGAGGCTCGCTCGTCGTATCACTTCCCCTAAACGATGGTAGGGAAAAGACTCTTTATCCATCTGTGTTGCACTGCAGTATATTTTGCAGCCTTAACATCTTTTTTTATCTGCAAGAAAATCCTATTGCTTAATGTTTTTTTCGCCAGGCGGTATAGACAGGGTGCGAACCAGGCGGGTTGAAAGTGCCCATTTGAATTTTGGAAACACGGCGGAGTTTCTGCCAGTAGAGGGATAGATGGCGCGGCGTAGAAATTTCATCTAAAGTCCCTAGATATTCATCTAGGGATTTTAATTTCATCATGATTTAATCGGGTTATCCACAGAGTATAGTTTATTAACAATTCGTTTCTGGATTCTCTGTGGAGTAATTGGAGTAGTTGGAGTAGTTGAAAAATATAAATACTTTATATAAAATGTTGATATTTAACAGCGATGTGGCTTTGTTACCCTATGAATAAACATTGATATAAAGTTGCTTTCGCCAAGAAACAATTATAATTAAATAATTTACATAAACATTAATCTAATTCTGTTTTTAAGTAAAAATTAAAAAAAATAAAATAATTGAAAAATAAACGTCATTCCATATTTGGCAATGTCTGTCAGTTTCTGTGAAGTGGAAGTGAATTGTGATTTGTTTTTTATGGGAATATTTTACGGATTTTTGCGAATTTAGAGTATTTTGGAAGATAGGATTTGTGAAATTTTAAAAAGCCAAGTATATTTAATTATATAAGATTTATATGTAGATTCCCTGTGATAATTTTTATGGAATTTCTCATAATCAACAACAAAAAAATTTCCTTCCAAACAAAAAAAATATTGGGCCCCTTGGGGGGGTTCCCTCAGAATATTTGGAAAGAATCATTATATTTAAAAGTTTTTTTTTGTGTATTTATATCACTCAAAGAATTTTGTATAACATATTAAAAGCTTAATTTTTTTTTTTTTGTAAATTTATAAAAATCTCTTCTCGGCTGATTATAAATATTAAAGTATAACAAATTTGCAAAGACAAACAAGTAATTTTAAAAAGATCATCTTTATTTATTTAACGAGTATAATCATTATATCATTAGGTTGAAAATATACTTCTGTATTTACTTATTTAATATAATTTCTATACCTTGTATTACTTATTAGCCCTATATGTCCTGTTTTATTGAAAAAAAAATGTTTTTTTTTTTTTTTTAATTTAATTTAATAAACAATTTTGTCCCTATGCTTGTGTATTATATAATGTGAATTGTAAGATGTTTTAATTTGAATTAAGGTTCTTAAAGTTTGAGATTAAAGTTATGACCAAAATTATATCTCACGGTAACTTATTGTTTTTAGATAATAAATTCATTTATTTATAATTTATAACCTTTTTATAATTACTTATAACTGATGGTATAAATTCTGATAACCTTTTATTATTCTTGTATAGTGTTTGATGTGTTATATGTTAATTTTATTAACAATGTTATAATAAATAATAAGTTACATTTTTTTTCGTGTTTTATACTCTATTTTCAGGGATAATTTCAACGACCAGATTATTAATTTATTGTACTAAAATAATTACTTTTATTTTGTAAAATGTTTTTGTTACAAATAAGTTCAATAATATAGATTTTTTTTTTTTTTTTTAAAGTAAAAAAACTTTATTTTTTTTTTTTTTTTTGTTTTATTATATTATATCTTTTATATATACTTGTAGTACTATGTAGTAGCCCGCTTGGATCGCGTCGAGCGCGTGTTTCCAGGCTTTAACATAGGAGTTTTCATTTCTTTCAGTTAGTTATTTTATGGTGCAAACTTGTAAGTTATAAATAGTCAGATCTCGTAGGCAAATTATCAGCTATGGGTAGGAGCAGTTCCTCAGACGATCGCCTTTTCTTGATTTTAAAATATCTGTTTGCGTATAACGGCGATTTTTTCTCGGACGCAGCACAGTGCTTTTTTAATGACCTTTCAAAAGAAGAAATGAATGAAATCGGCAACCGCCGACAAAATTTGGAGCGAGTTTTTCGCATAGAAAGTATCTGTTGTAGCAATAATTAGATGTTTATTTTTTCATTAAATTATGGATCATCCACACTTTTTTTTGGCTTGAAATACTTATTTCGATGTATGCTTTCGAGTGATATAAAAAAAAGTACAAAATTCGGAGGGTGTTATATCTGACAAGCACCTTTAATTCGAATTTTCCCAACACTAGTACCACTCGTACTTATAATAGGTATCTGGTTATCTCATATCTCCCTTTTCCCTTTTAGTTATCACATGGTTATCACTGGTTATCAGCACGAATACACAATACAGCACGAATAGCATTGCAAATTATTCTCATAAATAAAATGATTAGTCTGTTTCCAACCTTTTTAATTTAAGATTAATTAACCATTGGCCTTGGCCATTGCTATTATTTTTTTCTGGGAAGCCTTGAAATGTTTTGTTCGCTCTTGTGCATTTTATTTTTTAAGTATACGTAATTTTTAAATTAAGAAAATGTTGGATAATAGAGAAGAAGAAGAATTAGAACTAGAAACTCATAAACAATATTCCAGGTAAACATTTTTTTCTATTGCGCTTCTTTATAGATAAAGATAATATAATATGTTAGGTTTTAGGTTATTAGTGTATCTACAATGTATTTTTGTAAAAATGTTTCAGTATATTTCAAATTATTTCAGTTCAATTTTAATACCAACTTTAACATTCGTCATTTTGCACTATTTTACAGTTTTTTTTAACAGTCTATAGTAAGTTAAAAATAGATTTTTGAGTTTAATAATAAATCTAACCTAAAAATATGTTGTCCAAATTAATATAAAATTTAATTAAAATAGTTATATCATTTGTACATTTTCTAAATATTCGTTTTTAATCATTGCACTTTGTTTACTTTAACATATATATTTATGTTTTATGTTGTAGCTGGTTGAGTCCGAGTTGGTTATCATGGAATAAATATTCAGAAGGAATGTTAAGAACACTTGAAAAAAGAATTTTGCAATGTATGTACCAAACTGAGATACCTATAATTAGATTTTGTAGTCAAAAGCTGGTCAAAAGTGATGTTATAATTAATACACCTTGAACTTTTGTATCCAATTGAATCATTTTTATCTAAGGATTATTCATATTATTAATTATTATTCTGTGTGCTTGTTATATCATTTTTTAATGTGTACTTGATAGAAATGATAAATATAAATGTAAAATATATATATAAATGATCTTTCAGGCATGCATGACCAGAAAATAACTAAACATTCATCTCAATTGCAAAACCTCTAATGAGGGGTAGGGGACTCAAAACCTCACAATTTTTTCAGAATGTTTATTTCAAGAAATAATTTTGTTTACAAATGGGGTAACATGTTTTGGGAATCAGTTACTTCGTGGGCCTGATGATAGGATAGGAAGTATATTGTAAGATTCTTGAAACATGTCCCATTTTTTTAAACAAAAATGTTTTTTGAAATAAACATTTTGAAAAGATTATGAGGTTTCGAGTCCCCTATCCCTTGGTAGAGGTTTTACAGTTTAGAAAATAACTCTTTGTTTTTTAGTTGTAAAAACATCATATCGGGGTTGTTATGTAGATATAGGGCCTGTGGTTGGCCCAGCTGACAAAATATGGACCTTAAGTTTCAATACAAATTCCAAAAATATGCCCTTAGTTCTTATTCAAGGCCTAGGAGCAGGTGTTGCATTGTGGTGCTTAAATATAGATGCTTTAGCCGCAACTAGACCCGTGTATGCTTTTGATTTACTAGGCAAGTAAAGTATTATACAATCATTATATTATATGTATTAATTTTCCTCCAAACTTAGGCTTTGCTAGATCATCCAGGCCAGATTTTGATAATGATTCTGTTGAAGCTGAAAGACAGATGGTTCGGTCAATTGAAGAATGGCGGAAAGAAATGAACTTGACGGAATTCATTATATTAGGACATAGGTTAGTGTTACTTATGCTGGATTCAGAGTTCCGTAGCCGTAAGACGTAAGCCGTATCGTTAAGACGTAAGGGATATCGACCTTCACGATCACACGATTGCGTTCATAGATCTCCGTATGCCGTAAGCCGTATGCCGTAAGACGTAAGAAATGAACCAATTTTAATTCTTACATTACGTCATAAAGTAACTAAAATAAAAGAGTGTTTGAAAGGTTGTCTAACTTGGCCATAATGTTGCATAGTTCAGTTAGGGCTCCAAAGCGTCGCTACCTGCTACCTGTCACGTGTCATGACAAGATTGACAAGTGACATGACAGCAAATTATTTGTATTTTGCAGTTGTTTACAATTATGTTTTGAATTTTGGAATTTTGTTATTATTTTGTGTAGCATATACTTTGTTTGTTTGTTTTGTGTTTGTGCGTACAGAAATGATGGAGGAAGTTTTATTTCCCGAGGAACTTATATTTCTCTATGATTTGAACTTTGTTTTGTGCGATGTGTTTTACGGTCATCATGTAATATTTTGTTCAGTCGATGATGTGATTTGAACACGATCCAGGAAAGGGTATCATGCAAAGCAAGTTCGATATGTAAAGACATTGCCCATCTCTGAACTCGATGAACGTAAAACGAACTGACTATATATTCGCGCCTTGATTTCACAGTGTTGAACATTTGCTACCTCAACTAAACTTCAACTGCTGAGTTTATAAATCCAACTTACAGGTGAATTAATTTTTGATGATGTCTTATTTAAATCTTAATCTGTTATAATAGCATAGATTGCAAACCCTGCGATCTTATATGGTTTGTTAGTGGCGTTGTTAAATAAGTTTTATAATACTATAGGTTAATCGAGGGGTAAACCGCTGGTGTATTTTGGTGTACAAGATGTTGGCATTTTTGGCGTTTTCGTAGTATTATTGGTATTAGTACTAAATTATTTGGCATTAGTGTACAGAAATTCATCAGCGGTTTACCCCTCGAGGTTAATTCAGCATATGTATATGTTTTATATTATCAAATACAATTTAGCATTTAACTGTAAGCATTTGAAAAGTGTACAATAGTTTATATTTTTCAAATATTCCGTTTTTAAAAATAAATTTTCATTATATTTTTTGCAGTTTGATTTCGTAATATTTTTAAAAACACAAAAATTTTTAAATTCACATTTAAACTGCCCGCCTTTTTTGTGGTAGGTAATGCAGATACCTATTTTACCGATTACGTCTGTCATATTTGTATTAGTTCAGTTAGGGCTCAAGGGTGCGCTACAATCGATCCTCGTTAAACGTGTTGCCTACTTTTGACTATGGAAATGACAACTCTTTTATTTTATATTTCTCTATGCATTACGTCTTATCGAATCGGGTGTTGTCGGCTAGGTTCGGTGGTACTCGGTAGCCATTTCTACAACTTTTATAATATATTTCACAGATATTTCACTTCGGCAACGAAAATATAATTGTCCGTGTCCATTTTAGTTCAATTAAATTAATAATAACAAAATAAATAACGAGTATTATAGTTTTATTTACAACATTCACAGCCCAAACAACAACATAACCTATTAAAAACGGTAATGCGCACGCTTACGATGAAGTTATCGTTACGTCTTACGGCAACTATGAATGGTTTTCCTTGCGTCTTAAGTCTTACGGCTAACGATACGGCTTACGTCTTACGGCTACGGAACTCTGAATCCAGCATTATATAATTTTTAAGCACTAAAAATGATCATGTTTGTATTTTGTATAATTTTAGTTTGGGAGGGTTTTTAGCAGCTTCATATTCGATATCCTATCCAAGAAGGGTAAAACATATAATATTATCCGATCCATGGGGCTTTCCTGAAAAGCCTTCTGATAATGCTCAGACTATTCCTTTGTGGGTAAAGACTTTAAGTTATATAATACAGCCGTTCAATCCATTAGCTGGTGTAAGAGTAGCAGGACCTTTTGGTAAGTATCAATGTGTATCGAGATTTCATCAAAGGTTGGCAATACATTTTTTTCAACATACATTTTCTTTGATCCATTTTATGGCATTATAATAATTCCAAAACAAAAGCATCTTCATATGACACTTTATGGACGTGTGTTAAGTTAGCACAACCACTTTAAAAAAAGTTTATGAAACTATGTGAAATAATTGCCGTAAATTTGCCGTAAAAACGAAAAATTTGTCGCTCTTCGCTAAGTATGTTAAATCGATGGTTGTGCTAAGTTAATATTAAGTTAGCACAACCACCATTGACAACCAGCGAAAGAACATCGTTAGGAAATTTTCAGTATAGCAGGAATTTGCCGTTTTTTTGCCGTTCTTAGATACATTTAAAAAATATATCCTCCAATTTTCCCTATCCTTCTGCATCAAAAAATGTAATAACGTCAAGGACATATACAGGGTGGTCCGAACTGTATTCCGGAAACTTTGGCAGCATATTCTGCAGATAAAAATAAGTAAAAAAGTTCGTATAAATGTATGTCCTAAAATGATTAGTTTTGGAGATACAGGGTGTAGAAGTTTCATTTTTATTTCAATTTTTTCAAAGTAATTTCTAAAGCAACGTCAATATTTGGATGAAAATTGGTGTCTGGGAGACTTTTTTGACATGAGAAATTTGATTTTGATGTCAATATAACTCCTACATGTAGAGGGCGCCACCTACATATTTTTTAACTGGTTTGAAGAGTAATAACTTTTCGTCTGTACCTGTATAAAACTACTTAGTAAAAAATATACATTCACGACGTTTTTTACGTAAAAAAGGTATATTGGTAAAAATCGCTACGAGTAATGGTTCTCGAGATATTTGGAATCGAAATTATCAATACCTCTCATCATTGACATAAATTCAACATGTTGGCCAAATAGTTATTAGACTGAGATCATAAATTTGAAATGTTTTTGTGCCAAAAGTTCAACAGAAACTGTTTTTTCATCATTTTTGGAAGAAAAATTGATGATTAATTTACAAAAATAAAAAATTCCCAAATTAATCCTTTCAGTCTCTACTCAACATGTTTATTTTTTGTCAATAATGACATGTATTGACTATTTCCATTCTAAATATCTTGAGAAAGGTCGCTTTTAGAGATTTTTATCAAGGGTCATTTTTATGTAAAAAATCACGAAAATGTTTTTTCAATCAGTACTTTTATACAGGTACGAACGAAAAGTTATAAATCTTCAAAACAGTTATGATATATATAAAAAATATAGTAACACATGTAATAAACACACCCCCTAGAAATAGGAATGGTATTGATATCAAAATCAAATTTCACATGTCAAAAAACTTCTAGACGCCAGTTTTCATCTAAGTATTGACATTACTTCAGAAATTATTTGGAAAAAATCGAAATAAATATGAAACTTCTACACCCTGTATCTCCGAAACTAAGCATTTTAGGACATACATTTATACGAAGTTTTTTACTCATTTTTATCTGCAGAATATGCTACCGAAGTTTCTGGAATACAGTTCGGACCACCCTGTATATTAAATTAGTACAACCCCCTGTATGCATCCTGTATATTAAGTTAGTACAACCCCCTGTATGCACAATCACCCTGTATGCTGACAAAAATATTATGTACGTTACCATTGGCCTCATATTATGTAAAAAATTGAAATGAAATTCACAAACCAAAAACCTAATTGTTCCGTCATAAGACGCAATATTTGAATATGTAGTGTGGCAGCGCCTTTAGCGATTTCGGCCTATTTTTACTTTAAGAAGAATATATTGTTCTCTCTCTCTCTTCCGCTACCTCTCGAAGCGTTCACGTCGTAGCCCAGTCTGTTAAAGTATTTTGCAGTTTTAAACAATAAATAATAAGTAAAAAGTGCATAATCTTTATTTAAATACAGTCCACTAAGTATACACATAAAATTCTTGGTCCATTCGAGCCGCATTTCGTGATAATCGGAATAAAAAGTAAATAATTACGCGAAGAGGTTAGCCATTGAAGTGCAGCAGAAGGCAACGTTGTCAGATGGTACCACAAGAAGTTAACAAGTAGGTCTATTCCAATTTCCTATTACCTATCCATTGCTTAGTATCCTACAAGTTAATACCATTCATGCATGCTAGATTTGAGTGAGCAAAGTAACGATTTATTTACATATCAAAAATATTGCGTCGTAAATTCACATACGGAAAATTCAAAATCTTCAATTCGGGAGAGACAAAACGAACGACGAGAAAATCAAAAGTTTAGTCCTTCGAAGGGGACAACTGAAAGGGAACCTAACGCGGTTTTCGAATTTTCTAAAAAGCGGAAATATTAACATCACCGGGCTGAAACTACGAGTAAAAAATATCGATGCAACCTGGGACGAATTCCAGGCGGTTCAGTCGCAGTTAGAGGAGTTAGATGCAGGGCGCGAAGTCGAGGGACAATCGTTCGAAGACGAATATTACGGTCTCGCGACAGTGGCGTTAGAAATGATCGAACAGCATGAACAGAACGCGTCTCAAAATGCTAGTAGATCGTCGCAGAGTACACACACGAACATGATATCGACTACGAGTACAAATAACGCAACAAAATTACAAGCGATAACCTTACCTCAATTCAGCGGTTCGTATGAGGGATGGTTACAGTTTTACGAAATTTTTCGAGCTTTAGTAGACCAAAATCCAGAGTTATCCAAGATACAGAAATTTTACTACTTACAATCGTGTCTACGCAGAGAAGCGGTTCAAGTTCTGCATTCGTTAGAAATTTGCGAAGATAACTACGATAAAGCTTTAGACTTATTACGCGAAAGATACGAGAACAAACGCGTTTTAATTCACAATCACGTTAAAAACTTATTCGACATGCAGCCCGTGGCTAAAGAATCACATGAATCCTTACGTAAACTAATCGACGTCGTAGTGAAAAATATTCGTGCGTTAACAAGTCTTGAACAACCCGTCGAACATTGGGATACACTAGTAATATATCTAATATCATTAAAATTAGACGCCCATACACGAAAAGAATGGGAAATTTCGAATAACAAAATATCGCCTACTCTCGAGGAATTCCTACAGTTTCTAAAAAACAAATGCCAAGTTTTAGAAACTATAGACCACAAACAGCAAGCGACGACACCTAATTTCAACAACATACATTAGCACATCTCAGCTCAAACGAGTCACCAACTAATCGAGAAACACAAGTATATTGTACATTTTGTAAACAAACAAATCATTTTGCGTACAAATGTCAAAAATTACTTACGCTCTCGATTAAAGACAGGTATTTCGAGCTGAAACGTTTAGGCATATGCACAAATTGTTTACGATCAGGACATGACGTGACAAGTTGCCAAGGAAAAAACTGCAGAATTTGTAATCGTAGACACAATTCTGTTTTACACGATTTTAACTTCTCGCTTAATTACCAAAATTCAAAAACGAATCAAACCGCACATAATAACCAGAATTCAAATCAAAATTGTAATGTCGCAAGAGACGATAATAATCCGAATGAAAATTTCGACCATAATTCAGGTAAGATTCCAACCGCAAAAGCCGGCAACAGCGGAACGAGCTCTTCGGCTGGAGAAGTGTCGTCACCGCGGCCAGCTGACGCGCGTGCTTCCGGTCCTTGTATGTTGACGCGCGCGCCAAATACAAAATTTGAATTGTCGAATAGGGAGTTATCGTCGCGACGCGCGGCAAACACAAAATTCGAATTATCGAATAGGGAGTTATCGTCGCGACATGCGGAACATATTTTACTCGCTACCACGATGGTGGATGTATTCGATGTAAATAATAGACCGGTAAGATGTCGTGCATTGTTAGATTCGGGAAGTCAATCAAACTTTTGCACTAAAGAGTTATTTGAACGTTTAAATATACCGTCGAAAAAGTTAAATTCGTCGATTCTAGGAATAAATAACGTACGATGCAACATGTATGAAAAATTCAACAGTAAATTAAAATCAATCAATGAATCATTTCAATCGAATGTTGAGTTCTTAGTAATCGATAAAATAACAACTAAATTACCGCAAATTTCATTTGAACCCGATATAATAAAAATTTGGTATTAGCAGAATTTGGAATTAGCGGATTCCGAATTTAGTGAGCCTCGAAATATCGATCTGTTAATCGGGGTAGAGTTATTTTTTAAATGTTTGAATAGCGAACAAATCAAGTTTGGACGAAATGCACCGATTTTACAAAGCACAAAGTTTGGATGGGTAATAGCGGGCCCTTTAGATTTACACGTTAATCGTGATCTCAAGGACATAAACAATCATCAGTGTTTTTTAACAGTAAATGAAAATAATTCAGGGAAAAACTCAATGCGCAAGTTTTTAGAAGTTAAGAATATCGAAAACCGATCGAACAAGTTTACAAATGAAGAATTAGAGTGCGAATTAGATTTTAGAAAGCACGTAGAAACCGATACGACAGGGCGATATGTAGTTAAGCTACCGTTCAAAGATAATTATTATCATCTAGGAGACTCATATAACATTGCGTTAAAATGCTTGTTTTCTTTAGAAAATCGGTTAGCTAAAAATGCTGAGTTACGGAAACAATATATAAGTTTTCTCGATGAATACGAAAAATTAGGACACATGACCCTTGTTGATTCAAACTTGGACGGACCCAAAAGCGATTGTGTTTAAGCCATCATGCCGTGCTTAAAGAACATAGTAGCACGACAAAAGTACGCGTCGTTTTTAATGCAAGTCTGAAAACAAACACCGGGTTGAGCTTAAATGGTGTCCTGAAAACCGGCCCTAAAGTACAAAAAGACATTTTTGAGATAATGCTACAAATGCGTACTTACCCGATACTTATAACTGCCGATATCGAGAAAATGTATCGCATGATTTTGATCCATAAATCCCAACGCAAATATCAACGCATACTGTGGTGTAACGATATCACAAAAAAGGTGGAACAGTATGAATTAAATACGATAACCTACGGTACGGCGAGCG